CCCCCCCCACAAACGTCGCTCCAATGTGTCTGTTGAAATCTCTTCCAATAAAAAGCTTCTCGGTATGCGGGATACCACGCACTATCTCATCCAAATGCTCCTCGAAACGCCTCTTGACTTCCTCATCCAAGCTTGTTTGGGTTGCCTACGCACTGATAATGTTCAAAGTAAAACCTCCAACAACTAGCTTAATAGTCATCAGTCTGTCATTCACCCTCCTAACCTCCACCACTAGTTCCCGGGGGTCCTTATCAACCAAGATACCTAGCTCGTTCCTGCCCCCACCCTCCCAAAATACAAAAGTTTGAAACTACCCACTTCTTGCGCCTTATCTCCTTGTCACGATCCGGATTTTCCACCCTCAGGAGTCGTGATGGTGCCTACTCGTGAAAGCTAGGCAAGGCAACTATTAAGGTTTTAACCCATTAGCAATCAACCCAAATCAGATATAAATAATAACTACAGTTAAACATATGAAAAGTGCGGAAGAGTTATAACAAATTCAAATAAACCACTACATGTCTATCCACGAATCTGGTGTCACAAATTCATGAACATCTACGAATTACTACAAACACTGGTCAGAAAAGAAAAGTACAATTATGGGGGAATTTAGGCTCTGCGGATGCCAGCAAATCTACCTTGGTCTCCCTGAACTGAAGGCAGCTACCTCAGCTACTCACCGGGTCCGGTACCAAAATCTGCACAAAAGAGTGCAAAGTGTAGTATCAGTACAACCGACCCCATGTACTGAGTAAGTGTCGAGCCTAACATCGGCGAAGTAGTGACGAGGCTAGGAGACGACAACCAAATAAATCTGTGCAGTTAAATCATATACAAACAGAATCATAATAACAGGAATCAACAGAATAAGATGGGAAGGGGACATGCTGCCTGGGATATCAGATTCTAACAACAAACCAATAAAGAAACATCAATAAGTAGCATAATGAACATCATATCTATATCAACAAAAATAATGAAACGGTAACACGTGCACGGCATCACCCTTCGTTCTTTTAGTCTCGTCCTCACCATAGGAAACAACAGAAATGGCACGGCATCGCCCTTCGTGCATACCTCTCATAATCATGGCGCAGCATCACCCTTCGTGCATTATTCCTCACAATATCGGCATGGCATCACCCTTCGTGCATTAACTCTCAAATCATGGCACGGCATCACCCTTCGTGCATTAACACTCATAATATAGGCACGGCATCACCTTCGTGCATTACACTCACTCACAATATCATGCACGGCATCACCTTTCGTGCTTTACAGTCTTCATTACCCAAACAATAGAAACAATACGTCCCGGCATGGGATTCAACAATATCTACAATAATATCCCGGCAAGGGATTCAGCTATAACCAATCTCGTTTCAACAATTACTTTACAAAATGGAACTCAACTTGAGTCAATACTCAACAATTGTGAATTACCAAGAAACTTTCATAAACTTTGTTCAACATCGATAGTTATCAATATTAGCATGGACAGTGCATAATAGAGTCATAATAATCATGGTATAAGACCCACGGGCATGCGTGACACCAACGTATAAATACTCGTCACCACACCTATACATCGTACTCATACTAACACATAGCAAATAAGACCACAAATCCTATTCCCTCAAGCTAAGGTTAGGCCAAACACTTACCTCGATTCCACGGACAAGATTAAGCCTCAATTACCTCTTTACCTCTCGATTCCACTTCCAATCCGCTTGTATCTAGTTATAATTTACTTAATAACATTAATAAGTGCTAAATAAACCAATTCTAATGCATGAAACTAGGTTTTCCATTGTTTTCCCCAAAAAGTCAAAAATCGACCCCGGGCCTGCTTGGTCAAAACCAGAAGTTCGAACCAAAACCAGATCACGCATTTACTCACGAACTCAAATATGCAATTAGTTTTGAAATCGGACCTCAAATTGACGTCCAAATCTCCAAAATTTGAAAATCCTAATTTCTACCCAAAAACACACAATTTCCCATGAAAAACCCTAGCTTTTGAAGTGAAAATCATAAAAGATGTTATAGATTGAAAAAAAATAAGTTAGAAATCGTTTACCTATGATTTGGGGAAGAACTCTCTTCAAAAAAATCGCCTATGGGAGTTTAGGTTTTGAGAAAGTTGTAAAATGATGAAAAGTTTCGTCTGAAATCCCACTTAACAGGTGCAGTTATCGCAATTGCCATCATGAGTTCGCAATTGCGAACCCTTGGAATTTCTGCTATCTTCGCATTTGCGAAGAAATCGCCGCACTTGCGACTACTGAGGACTTACTGAGAACTTCGAATTTGCGAAAAAATGCGAGCAAGGCTGGCCTGGGAATACATCGCAATTGCGATCAGCCCCTCGCAATTACCAACCCTGACAAGCTCGCAATTGCGAAGCCTAACCTTGCAATTGCGAGATCAGAGCGTGCAATAAATACCATATGAACATCAGAAATTTCCTAAGTTCAAACTCACTCCATGGCGTATCCAAAACTCACCCGAGCCTTCGGGACTCCAAACACAACATGCATGCAAGTCTAAAAACATCATACGGACTTGCTCGTGCGATCAAATCATCAAAATAACATCAACAACTATGAATTTAACCTCAAATTCATGAAATTCCTTAAGAACATTGAATTTTCATTTTCTCAACTAAAGGTCCGATTTATACCAAATCGACTCCGATTCTTACCAAATTTCACAGATTTGACTTAATTATTATTTTAAACTTGTACCAGGCTCCGGAACCAAGATACGGTCCCGATACCATCAAGAACACGTATCATTTCACTTCTAAAAGACTTTATATTTTCCAGCAAACAATTTTCTTCAAAAATTCTTTTCTCGGGCTAGGGACCTCGAAATTCGATTCCGGGCATACGTCCAAGTCCCATATTTTACCACGGACCCTACGGGACCGTCTAATTATGGATCCGGGTTCGTTTACCAAAAATATTGATCAAAGTCAACTTTAACCAATTTTAAAGGCTAAATTCATTATTTTTCTTAAATTTCACATAAAAGTTTTTCGAAAATGCGCCCGAACTGTGCACACAAATCGAGGTAAAATAAAAGGAGGTTTTTAAGACCTCGGGACACAATTTTGACTTCTAAAACAAGAGATAGACTCCTACCCATTTAGTCTCTTGTACATAAGCTATATTGATCTTCCTTATCTCGAGAATCTTGGCTAACTCTATAGATTTTCCAGTCAAAGTTCCTATGTTCCAAGACCCCACTCTCAGCCTAGTAGCTCCCTTAGCCCTCTTACACCCCTTACCCCCTGCGCTAACACCCCCGAGGACAAGACCTTACCCTACCGTCGTTCACCAAACCACTATAATCTAGGAGTCACTACGCAAGTACTATCTCGAAAACAAGCAATAAAAATAAAATGAATTACGAAATATAATCTACCACTATGGTTGCCAAACAGGTGAAGAAATAAAATAAAGGAAATAACGGGAACTATAATTTAGCACTAAATGTCAGACAAACACGTGAAGAAATAGAACAAAGGAACTAAAGTACCAATAATCTACAACTAAAGGATAGAAAAATAGGTGAAGAAATACAATAGAAGAGCTAAAGGGGGCTATAATCTACTATTAGAGGTCACAAAGAAAATATGCAATAAAGAATCAAAATAAAGCACGAAGGATAGAAATACCTAAATAGAGGAACACAACAAGAATGGGGAAAATCCAGTCAATGCAATATAATTCGGGATACCCAATAGAAACAATGAATAACAAAGCAAGAATGCTAATCAGATTCAAAACTCAGAGCAATAATGTTAAAATAACTAAGCAAGAATATAACCAACAGAAAGGATTCCCAAAAATTGATAAGCGGTAGAAGAATTAAAGCAGCAGAAGAATTAACGAAGTAAATCAATAACCAAAACTAAAAATAAGTAGGAAAAAGCAACGATTGAACCTTGTCGGAAGCCCTGATCGTCGGACAGGGGAGATCTGAATCCCAAAACGTCACCGTTTCAACTGATCGAATAAAAAGTTCTTCAAAATCTGTTATGGACGTTCCTCATTAAGTAATCGGTAAGTATGGAAGTTGTAAGACTTACCAAATTGGAAAGTAAACCTACAATAATTGCAAAATGTGAGGCATAACTTGTTTAGAAAGCCCTCTATATCTTCCATGGAATTATCTTAATACTATAAATCTTAGTACTATTAATCTTTTGTCATAAGAACACGTAACTAGGTCATATATCTTTGTTAATATGGTAAGCATCTAACGAAGTTTGAGTTTCTTATCTTTTTCTGTAACTTCTTTTTTAGGTGCTAGCCCTACAGAATTTTGTCGTTCATCCCAACTTAATGTTGTTGATTTCTCACTCAAAGATGCGGCCCAAGATGACAAAGGTGGTGAAAGTGGATCCATTAAAAAGAGAAGTAGGCCCGAATATCCGCCAAAGAACCTGTCAAATGACGTTTGGGACCCTGGCTAAGATAAGGCTAATATGGATATAAAATGGGGAAGCTACGGAGAAGATCCTTATGGAAATACTGAGTCTTTTCTTTAATTTGATTTAGCTCTTGTTAGAGCACTCTGCAACCTTCCTCCATTCTTGTTTTCCTTTTTTAGTTTCTTTTCCTTGTATCCGATATTGTTTGTCGTTGGAATAAATCTCTATCTTCTTTAATAAATATGGATCCATTACAAAGTTTTTCTTTGATCGAGTTACACGTGCATCTCGTGCGCCACATTTTCATCATGTGCATCACTCTTATGCGTTACACATGCATCTCGTGCGTCACATCGTGCATCCGTGTTAATTATTAAAAAAAAAAATCACATACATATTACTAAACGTGTATCTGATGTATAAAACAAAATTAAAAAGGAATTCCAAGTCCTAAAAATATGTAAAATATAATACTCATTAGAAAAGCTTATATGCTTAATTCCAATATCTTAATATATAGTATTTCAAAAATTCAACAATGTTTCTTCAAATTGTTACTGGCTTCCTTCAAAGAAAATTTTGACTTTGCATTATGAATAATTCCAACAGTCATATACATATGTTTGTAATTTTGATATTAATTTCCAAGAAATAATACTACTACTATTTTGTTATGTTTAGTCGTACGTGATTGTTTGGATTTGTAATTTTACAGTTTATTTTACCTTCTCCAATCGCATCAATTAAGACGCTTGTAATATGATCTATTAACTCCTCTTCATTTTCTTTAAATTTGACTTCCCTTATGACATTAGTTTCATGAAGTGTCCGATTTATGTTTAACGGCATGTCACTTTCTCAACTTTTTCAATAACAGAATTTATGAATAAAGAATTTGATAACAGAATTAGTTTTGTTAATTTGTTTTATATTTGTATTATTTGGGTTAAATTAGGATTATGGTTTGTGGATCACCCGCAGTCGTGTAAAAGGATTTCTTTTCCATTTCTGAAATTTTGTTTACGATTTTCGATTGAATTCGTCTAAGTTTCAAATCCATTCCTTCTGTCATATCATTTTATTTTCTCTTCCCTTATTCCAAAGTTTTTTATTTTTCAAAAAGAAGAGGTGTGACAACACAAATAAGTAGGTGTCCTTTATATTCATTTTTTGCCACAACTTATGTAAGTCAGTGTCGACTCCAAATCATATTATACACACAAAATTGAACGCAAAATTGACAACATCAATATAGTTTCTTTGGATACAAGCAAAATAATTGGGAAACGAAAGTAAATATATCGAAAAATAGTATTTATAGCATGTGAAATATTTTATGTATAACTAGATAAAACTTTAGTTTTTTATATTTTTTGGCATACAAATTAAATATCATGACGGTAATAATTTACAAGACCTAGATTTATGCATTCTCACCAGGTCCCCCATAGAGTACAAAATGCTGAAACTTCCCCGGTATCGCATGCTAACCTTGTATAAGTTTGGATTATCGACATGTGTAGTTGTTTCATCTACATCAATAGTTTCACCTTTATCATTTAAAATTGTAAGTCCTCAATAATAAGCATCATAACTAGTCTCTCCAACAGAAAAAAAGCTAGAGCCCATTGGAGGTTCTGGTACACCTGGTAGACTATATACCACTCCTCCCCATTCGACATTAGTAGCAAAGCTAGCCAAGTCAGTGAAAATCCTTTGAGGCCAAAAACCAATTTGAATATGATTTTCTTCTAGAAAAAGTCACCAATTTTCATTCACCAGATCTTAATTTTATTGTGAAGAAAGAAATGTCTAAATTAGTTTTCTTTTTTAAATTTCAAATACTAATTCTAGAAAAGAATAATAAAACGTACCCGACCGATGGACATTGTGTCTTCCATTGAAGTTTTATCTCCACGATGTGAAACTTGATCATATACCATATCAACAGGTATCTCGGTGTTTACTAGAACAAAACCAGGACATAGTGTATTGAAACAATGTTTGTTACCTCCCTACAAAATATACAAAAATGTGTCATATATATGCTATGCAGATTGAGGTCATTAGATAAACAGAAAGATTATTAGTTACACAATATTGAAATATAAATCATCGAAGTAAATAAGATAACTTAAAAATGTATAAAGAGCCTAGTTTTGTTATCTCCATATAGTGTTGGGTCCACCTGTAGCATGTAATAGAGAAATCGTGATGATACTAAAAGTGATTTAATACCTTTTTGGGGTTTCTCATATGATGCCTGATAATTGTATCTGAGCTCTTTTCTTTTTACCTCCTTCTGTTGATAGACTTCTTGATTTTTTTCTTCATATTTATTAATAAGCTATTTAAATAACACTAATTTTTTTAAATCTCAATTGGGCTAATTATTAACATCACAAAACAGTTTCCTTCATATTGATTAATAAGCTCTTTAAATAACACTAATTTTTTTAAATCTCAATTTGGCCAATTATTAACATCACAAAACAGTTTATCCTGGAGATGGTTTAGTTTCAACGAACAAGACATTTACAGCTCAATTAACAGTATCCCCTAGAATAGTGCAAGAATGCAATCAAAAGAGTTATATGGCACCTATATTGGTAACATGTAACAAGTATCTGGTCAAATAGTCGAACTGCACGCAAATTGGCCCAAACATCTTTGTTTGAAAAATAAAATGAATACAGACTAGGGAGGGGAAATAAATATATAACCAAATATTTATTTCAAAAATCCACTAGGATAGTCCAAGAATGCAATCAAAAGAGTTATATAGCACCTATATTGGTAAAAGGTAATCAAGAGAGTTATATGGCACCTATATTGGTAAAAGGTAACAAGTATCTGGTCAAATAGTCGTAAAAATTGCATGGGGCGTCCTATTTGGTCGCCCCCATTTAACCTATAATCATTTTTTTTTAAAAGTTTTAACTTGTACCCACTTTTTAAACAACTTCAGCCCCATTTCTCCTCCTCCTTCTCCTCCTTCGTTTTCTTCTTCTTCTTCTTCTTCTTCTTCTTCTTCTTCTTCTTCTTTCTTCTGCTGCTGTTGGTGTTGCTATGAAACTTCAGTTTATGGGATGATTGCCATAAGTTTGTTTATCAGATTATTTAAAAATAAATTATAATTACGTAAGTTAGTAGACAATAATTTGTAAATATTTTCACGTACTGGAAGTTTAAGATCACACTTTAGTGATTCTTTTCATGATAATTCTGTTCTTTTCACGTTTATTGTTTCCAAAATTTATGATTTAGATATTGTTGACAACTGATTATGTTAGAAAGCTTTTTCAAAAACTTCAGCTTGTATATTGCTGAAGTTTTTACAAATGAACTAAATAACTTCAGCATCTTCTGCTGAAGTTTTTGAAAAAGCTTTATGACAAAACTAATGAATCTAAGGACAAAAAAACTTCAATTATTTTAGTGCTGAAGTTTTTACAAATGAACTAAATAACTTCAGCATCTTATCTAGGACAAAAAAACTTCAGCGTATTGCCTTTGCTACTTCAGGCCCGTCTACTAGAATGCTGAAGTTTTGCGTGATTGCCTTTGCTACTTCAGCCCCGTATGCTGAAGTTACGCGAAAAAGTGGGTACACTTGCAATTTTTTTTGCAAAGCAGGCACAAGTTAAAACGTGACCCAAAAAGCGGGTGTAGATGCAAACTACAACGTTAATGGAAGCAAAATAGTTTAACAGCTTGTTTGGATGGTTGTTACTCATTGTATCATACTGTATTGTTATCCCACAATAATATTTGTTTTGATTGTTTCATTAAAAATTGGTTGTATAGTAATGTTAAATCTATTGTTCTAGAACAATGAAAAGGCCCAATTTTTGAAACAACCGATTTGGTGTGGTGAGATTGTTCCTATTTTTCTTTCCAATATGTCCTAACTTATTACTCCATAATTCTATTTTACCTTTACCTTCTTTTTTTTTTTAACTCCAAATCTCTCACCTATAACATACTTTGTCTTCGTCGCATTTTTTCCAGAACTTCTGTCGCTTCCAACTCTAACGTAAAATTCCTAATTTTGTTAAAATTTGCATGAATTTAATTGCTTAATCTATTTATAAGACATATTTGGTGATAAATTAGTAGAAATGAATTTTCTCAAATTATTTTATGCATAATTCTTGATAAATTTAATAGTTAAACAATTGAGGGTATTTTAGTAAACTTATTAGTTATAGTACAGTACGATACAGTCAAATCAAATAGCAAAATGTTATTTAACAACAACAAATGATACGATCTATCCAAACGTCGTATTTATAAAACGCTACAATACAATACAATACATTATAAAACGATGGGTAACAATCATCCAAACAAGCTGTAAGCAATACCAATATTTCGCAATCCTAATTCCTAGATTTTAGTTTTTTTTTTGGCTGATGATTTTAGTACCTTTGTAATAAATAAGAATCCATTCTAAAGTCTATGACTAGTGTCTAGTGGTATCAAATTTTAAAACATCTATGTTTATGTTGTGCCGGAAAAAATTAAAAGGTCTAATTAACTTCTAAGCATGTATAGTAGCTATACAATTAAGAAATATCCACACAAAAACAATAGGAATTAAGGATGTGTTTGGTATATCGAAAAATATTTTTCACGCAAGAAAATATTTTTTTGGAAAACAATTAGTAATCTTACTTATTTTCCGGTGTTTGGTACGCAAATTAAGGAAAATAACTTCTCAAGAGTATTCATAAATAAGTTAGATACAATAAAGGAATTTTTACCTCCTATAGAAAAGGTTAACACCTTATTTATTTTAAATAAATACCATTTTAAAAAATTATATTCTATAGATACCTTTTAATGTTTATAGCAAGATATCTAATTTTGGTTACCTCCTACTCCTAAGCCACTAAATAAGCTATTCAGTTACACTATTTTCTTTCTCTCTCTACTTTGATACATCCCATTCTCTTCCCTCATTCCCTGACAACACGATGCTCAATCTCAAAATTTCTCTCACCCACATCACCTACCATTAGTCAAAAACCCCACGCTCTCTCCTCTCTCCTCTCTCTCTAGGGCGACATGGTGTAGTATAGGCTGCCATGGATGCACGGCCCTCTCCATCAAGTTAACATCAGAAGGGTTAAGGTTGAATCTCAAGAGTCTTTGTTTGGATCTCGTTTCCGAATCTGCCGTCTATGTTGTTCGCGAAGAAATCCAGTAGGGGAGCATAAATTTAAAGAGTTTGAGTGTGATTCTTGGAATTGTAAAGGAACGGTAGCACAACAATGTATTAAAGTGCTGCTGCTTTGTGAGAAAGATGAAGAAGAATAGCCGCTGCCCATTTTGACATTCTTTGGACCCCTCTTTTGTGTTACCTTATTATTATGGAATTTTTTTTTCAAGTTGGGGCTGAGCAACTTGGTTTTCTGTTAATATATTTTAATGTATTTTCAATGTATCACGCTGTATTTATATGTATTTCATTGTATTTATTGTCTATTTTTTCGGTGTAATTCAATGTATCTCGTTGTATAATGTCTTGTTTTCATTGTATTACAATGTATCCCGCTGTATTCTATGTATTTCATTGTATTCACTGTCTCGCTATATGCCTTCAATGTATTCATATGTTTTTTTTAATTAATATAATTTATGTATTCAGATGTATTATATAATTTCTCTGAAGATTGCTATATTTTTGGGGTATTTTTCGGTTGAGAATGTTTTTTATAACTGGAAATACAAAATTTGTGTGTTGTAATTGAGTTTGTTGAGTTATATTAGGAGTCGATTATGTTAATTGATTTACTTTCCGTTTAAAAACAGTGTAATCCTCTGTTTCACGCCGTGAATACAGTCGAATACAATAATCTTTCCAGCTGTAATCCCATGTTTTATGCCATGAATACAGTCGAATACACTCGAATACAAAAATCCGTCTAGCTGTAATCCCCTGTTTCACGCCTAGAAATGCTATTGTATTCATGAATACAGTAGCTTAAATACATCAAATACATCTTATAACAACAGAAAATGTATCTACAATTCGTAATATAGCAAATGGTATCTATAGATAGCTAATTACCACTAAAAGATAGTGCTTTATGAAAATTTCTCTACAATAAACATGAAGCCATAAACTTTCAAACCAACAACCTTCCGAACTCACAAATTCCATAAACTTCCGAACCCGTAAACTCTATTACATCTAAACCAGCAAACTTCCAAACACATAAACCTCTGAACTCATAACTTTGAAACTCGTAAAGTTTCGAACCTGTAAACTGAAAAATGAAAAAATCAGAACTGAAAATATATATAAAATTCTTTTTGCTAGGGTGCTGTTGGGGTGGGTTGGTGGTGCAGAAAAACGGAAAAACCAGAAAATACAAAATTTTGCCCCTGAGGGGGAGGGGGCGCTGGGGGGTGCTGTAGAAATTTTTTTACAGAAAATTAAAAATCCAAAAAAAAAAAAATGGGGGGGAGGGGGGGTTAGCAGGGTAGGTGGTGACGGAAAAGAAAAATAAACAGAAATCTGAAAAAGAGTTTTTTTGGAGAGAGGGAGTGGGAGAGGTGGGGTAGGGTGTTAGATGTGAGGGTAGGTGGAGTTTTTGGACAATATTTTACTAACTTTTTCTAGGGAAGTCACTTTTCTCCAATTTCAGAAAAATGTGATATCTAAGAAAATATTTGCCAAAGTATTTTGTGCAACCAAACCGTGGAAAATGGGAAAACATTCCCGGAAAATATTTTTCGTCATACCAAACACACCCCAAGTTAAACACTTTCCTAATTAGTAGCTAATACTTTATTTAAATATTCCTTGCATAGCATCATTTGGGGATGTAGCTCAAATGGTAGAGCGCTCGCTTTGCATGCGAGAGGCACGGGGTTCGATCCCCCGCATCTCCATACTTCTTGTTCCTGCATTTTTGGTTTTCTCTTTTAATTATTTTTCCTTATCGCTTCTCCTCTCGAAGCAAAGTCATCTTTACTCCAACTCTCCCTCGCTTTATTTTGCCAATTTTATGAATTTCGCCGAAGTTGTCAATGGCGTTTGTAGTTCCTCTCTGCAACCTTGCTCCTGATTTAACCGTCTCGAAACTCTGCTTAGGTTAAACTCTTTGCTTCATCCATGTCTTTAGTTTGTACAAAGCTGGAGAATACTGTCCTTTTTGACGCCTTGTTTATTCTCACAGGAACCATGACTTTCGGCGAGCAAAACACTTTGGCCGAATCATTTCAAATCCTCGACAAAGCCTTCAACTCCGGAATCAACTTCTTCGACTCTGCTGAAATGTAATCCTCAAACCTTACGTCTCTCTGCTCAATTTTATGCTAACACCTCAACTGTGGATTTAGTACTCCTGTTATGTAAGTTTCAAAAAGAAAAACCGGTTTTAAAATCGAATAAAGAATGAGGATTAATGTAACTTCGACTAATTTAGGATTGAAGCTTAATTGATTGATAGAATATGTTGATATTAAATTGCATTTGTTTATTCTTTTTAAAGTCTATGAAAACCAGGTATCCAGTACCTCAGCGTTCAGAAACTCATGGCAGAAGTGAGGAGTATTTTGGGCGTTGGTTTAGAGAAAGAAAAGTCCCTCGCGATAGTGTTGTTCTCGCCACTAAGGTCTTCAATATTCAGCTCTTCTTTATTTCCCTCTGCATTTCATCCAATAGATTAAAATATTGTATGAAAGATATATAACCGTGTTAGAAGATTGAATTTTCAGTTTAAGCGTTGCATGTTTAAATGTACTGTGTGTGATGTGTAGGGCTAGTTAGGAGAGTTTAGGCTGAATAGGCTAGATTTTCCAAAATATGTCTGGTCTTTGTGGTACTAAAATGTGACAGAAGAGTTGATTATGTAAGCAATTAGCAATTATTTCCTATGCCTAGCTGTCCATGAGGCAGGATTGAAAGCTTTGTTGCCATTAGAAACAAACTGCATTATGAGATGCATTCATGCTTGTTCTGGAGTCATAAGGAGTAAATTTGTAGTTATCTGTTAAAGTATCTCTTTTTTCGTCTTTAATTTCTTAATAATGTAAGTGCTTTATTTCTTTCTAACATGTGGTTAGTGGTATTTTTCCTTTTCTTTGTTCGGGGATCTTATTGCAACTGCACTAGCATTTTGATATTTTTGCACAACTATATTGGTACAGGTCAGTGGACCATCTGGACAGATGTCTTGGATCCGAAATGGACCAGAAAGCTTGGACGCTCAGAACATAACTGAGGCTATTGATAATAGGTTGAGTAAATCCTTGTTTGTTGTTTTGTTACCATTACATTGTCCATTCAGTTTTTGACTGCATCAGAATATCAGATGATTTTTGACAATTAATCTTTCTTCTGGAGATGACCTCTATCTGCTATGATTTGTATTTTTGTACTGCTTCTGATGTGGTACCTTATTGAATTGATGCAGCCTGTTGCGTGTAAAGACTGACTACATCGACTTGTATCAAATTCACTGGCCTGATCGGTTTGTGGATAAATCCTACTGTACATTTTTTGGCTTGTTTTCTCACATATGTAAATGCTCAAAAATTTTGATTTTTGAACAGATATCTTAAGACATTAGCTTCTTCCCCTGTCAACATCCAATTTGATGTTCACCATTTTAAACTTTCTGGCAGCTATGTTCCTATGTTTGGAGAAACTGACTATGACCCGCTTCGGAATTATGCATCAATCAGTTTTGAGGAACAACTTGATGCTTTAGAAAGAGCTGTTGATGCTGGTAAGGTCAGTCATGATGGCAAAGATGCTACCTTCACAAACTACTTTTCCTCATGAAGGCCGAGATGTTAACTTCATAAATTTGATCATTATTTTCTATTGGTTGTTCAAAATATTCTCCTTAGATCAGATACATTGGCCTTAGCAATGAAACACCATATGGTATTATGAAGTTCCAACAAGTTGCCAAAAGTAGAGCTGGGAATCTTCAAATAGTGTCTGTTCAGGTGTTGTATTGCTCAATCCTGTATAATGTAGACTTCTTTGTCCTTGCCTCCGTCAAATATTTGTTCATCACTAATATAAGATAACACTTGATTCGGCTTCTTTTTTTCCAGAACGCATACAACTTGCTATGTCGAGATTTTGATTTAGCTATGGCTGAATGCTGTCACAATGAGAGGTAATCCTTTCTTGTATGGATAAATTTGGGGTAGTAATTCTATATGATTACGTGGTGTTGCTTTTTGTACTAGAACATCCATTTGTGCAAATGATGCATCTAAGAGTGGGAATAAGTGCAGTCTTGATTGTTGTCCTAGAAACACATTATACTAATAATGGGGTTGAGATATATATTATGGATGTACAATGGAAAATACCTGAGACAATGGAGGGTGTGATGCATAGCTGGGCATGTAGGAGAAGGAGAAGATCATATAGAGCATCGATATAGCCTCACTAGCACTTATGTGGATTCTTTGGAGGGAAAGGAGGATAAGAGCATCCAAAGGGGTATAATATGATTTTGTACAGATTAGGGCATCTCTTTTGTTCTCGATTATTTTTGGTGCACCTCTGATTGTGTAGATGATTGGGTGTCTTGTTATAGAGAACCATATTTCTGTGTAGGTTCTCAACCTATGGTATACTACTTGCGTATGGGGTTTCTTTCCCCAAACATCAATGAAATATTATCTTATCAATAAAAATCATACTAGTCAGATTTGCACAGGCTTCTATGCACTCTTATCGCGTGTAGGATGCATGATGAAGAGTGAGGATGCATTGGGAACCTTCTAGGATACTGTTTGCAGAACATGGATGACTCTAATAAGGGGATATTGGTCCTAAATTTTCTGACAAGATCAGGAAACAAAAAGGCATGTGTCAGAAAAGCACATTGTTTATCAATTGATTCCAACAATCTTCTTCTAACTTTCGGACTGTTCGATCATCTAGTAACTCCTGTATTACAATTTAAGCTGCAACCATATTAGCACTGTTTAACATTCTTTACGGCTACACTAAAAGCTTTCTATTTTATATCCTGTTATCTCATTTTTGTTAGTGATACTGGTATATCATTGTGTCTAGTTGTCTTTCCTGCAAAGGCATCATTAGTTTGTACTACATGATTACTGTCACAGGAGCTAACTTGACTTGTTTCCGTTATCTTTGTGGCCAGTTTGACCATGATATGTTTTGCTACTTTTCATCGCTGTTTGATCTTAGCATATTTATAAAAGAGATTTTCATGTACCCTGTTCTGAGAATCAATTTTAGAAGAAAATGAACATGCTCTTTAGGATTTGAACCTATGGATCTTCTAGGGAATGACAAAAAGGATATAGCTGGTAGAATCTCTCTTCAGTCTAGCTGCTTTCTGCTATAACAACCTGCCTATTGTCAACTTAATGGGAAAAAAGTTGTTGTGAACTTACTGACAAAGATGAGGTTCATCTGTTAAGTTGAAATATTTGCGGAATTGACTGTTGCTGACATCTTTGCTTACCTATTGCTGAATGTCTCTAGGATAAGCTTGTTGGCATACAGCCCGCTGGCCATGGGCATACTTTCTGGAAAGTACTTCGCCGAAGATGGAGGTCCATCTGATGCTCGTTTAAATCTGTTTAAAGGTCAAATCAATTGCCAGTTTCATTGGAATATTTAACTAATGCCTGTAGATTTTCTCACTATACTAATCCCAAACCTCTGATAGGGAGGTATAAGGAAGGGGAGTCCAGATACAACCTGTCAAACTCTAATGCCTTATATGCCGCCAAAGTAAGGGATTCTTCTTTCTAAAGCTGTCTTATAATTTTGCAAAACTCAAATATATACTGGTCAGTAAATACACAACTTTTGGTGCCCAAGGGTATGGTCTAGTGGTCAATGAAGTTGGTTGAGAACCATGAGGTCTCAGCTTCAAATTCCAGCAGAGGCAAAGAACACTTGATGATCTCCTGACCGAGCCTTGGTGGATAGAGTTACCCGGTACCTATGCTGGTGGAGGTAGCAAGTACCCCGTGGAATTAGTCGAGGTGCAGGAAATCTGACCCGGACATCACTGTTATTAAAATAAAACACAACATTTGGTACAGAAAGACCACTGTTTCTGTACAAAAATGATGCAACACTTAATATGCGTGTGTGTGAGATCTAATATCTGTTTGTTCATTTTCTGCTTGACAGTAGAACCCAAACTTCTATAGGGGGGTGGGGGGGGGGTGGGGGGGAAGAGGATGCTCTTCTGCAATAAACAGATTTTCTCATGGTTCTGATATAGTTTCACTATGTAGTTGGATACCTTTTATCTTTAAGACTGTAAAACATGTCCTCTTATGTCTGTTCCTATAGTGTCCTATTGTCTTCACTAAAATATTTTAGTTTTTCTTAGTTTTATGCGACACACAAATGAATTTTACCTTTGTGATGAATTTTGCTCATTTTGCAGTCATACCTAGAGATTGCAGACAGATATGGTATTCATCCAGTTTCTCTTGCAATTGGTATGACCAATCTTCCTCCGAATTCCCTATTCTAGTTTAAGTCATCTACTAATCACAGATTAGCCTTTATGGCTATTTCTTAATAGGCTAAACTGACATTATTATGCATGTGAATAGGTAACTTGCTTGTGCTGTTGAGTTTAATTTCAGATTTAAGATTTGTCATTTAGTGACCAAAACATATATTTCGTTTGGTTTTGAATTATTTGGCCAGCCTTTGTTATGAGACACCCTCTTGTGGCTAGTGTTGTCTTTGGAGCAACAAAAGTTTGGCAGCTCGAAGAGGTTCTTGATGCGTGCAAGGTCAACCTCACTCCTGAGATAATTACTGAGATTAACAAGGTTCACTCGAGGTTTCCAAGCCCTTGTCCTTGAAAAGTATTGATCTATACCCACAATCACCACAAAGTCCCTGCTCTGAAGAGGCAATTTAAAATACACTGCTTGAAAAGATTTTAGCTAGAACATTTGGACTTTATCATTAACTGATGGAGGTCTATCAAATGTGTGAAAGTGACAACCACATGTGAAAACAACCAAGAATCTGGGCTGTCGATTGGTGCTTTGTATCTATCTAGCATGAAAAGAAAAAAAGAAAAAGATAGGAATGTGGGAGTATTAATTGTTTATTTTCCTTTTTGAGAATTAATTGTTTCTTATTGTAGAATTCAACACGGCAAGTCGGCAACCAACGCTGTTAAGTAGTCACTTAGGCCGCATTGCCGGATGTTACTTCTTTTTGCAACAAGAATATGTTTATTTTCTCCAATGACTTTTCAAGGGTAGTAGGAGAAAATACAAATGCCTTGGGACACTTAAAAGGATTCATAGTAACTGCATTGTACAGTATTTATTTGTTGATGACTTCTGTAAGGAGGACTTGGGATCTGATGAGAAGGAATGCATGTGTTAACAGGGTAAGAAACAAACGTAGATAAATCAAATTAGTTGGTCCAAACGAGATTAGAAAAAAGGTGGACAAGTTATCATGATGCACTAAACATTCCAAGTCTTGTGGAATATTATCGGGTAAATTGTCCCAAGGAGAAAGTTTAATCTGATTATTGTAATATGTTATTTCCTCCGGTCCACTTTAAGTGATCTTTTGGTTGTTTTCACACAGATTAAAGAATTCACCTTTTAACATTAATTAACAGTTTACCATATTAACCTTAATTTGTTCAATGGGAATACAACAAATACTCATAGGTTCTTTACTTCAAGGACAACTTTGGAAAAAAGAAGTTAATTCTTTCTAGATATTTGAAAAAATTAAATATTGTGGACCACAAAAAAAGGTCAAAAATCACTTAAAGTGGACCGGAGGGAATAATAGATTTATTTTAAACTTGTATTTTTCGAATAATTAATTTGTTACCATTTTCTTTTGATATGAAATATCGACATAGGTACACGTTTCAAAAGGAATGAACGAATTTGAGGTACGAAAAAAAAATATTATTTATTTAATTTTCATGTGTGAAGTCAATTGATATTTAGACATTTATATAAGTGTAAGGAGAAGTTCCTTTTTCATAATGCTTTCCCACAACAAAAGAATACATAAGTTTATCACTTAATCATGGTTAATTAATTTTTTTAATCTCAATTTAGTACTTCACTTAGCCATAATAAGTAAACATGATTTAAGCATACACATAGTTGTGTAGATTTTTCCAGGGTTTCTTTGATTTTATTTTAGTTTTGAAGTCTAGAAGGAAATATGATTTAAGTTGATTTCAATGCTTCAAATTATAGACTTCCAAGTCTAAAATTTGACCAAGCAGATATTTGGTTGACTAATCTTTCTTCCTCTCCACATTCATTTTTTCCCAAATCAAACAACATAAAGGTAAAAAATTTATGATTCAACATCATCTTCATCACCATTTTTTGCACTTCTCTCAACAAAAAAAAAAAAGAAAAATAATTTCAAAAATATTAAACATTATTCCCATGCCCAACTTTGAAAAGTGAGTTAGTGTTGTATGGGTCAAAATCTGACCATACGCAGATTAGCGCTAAAAGGAATGGCAAGGGGTCGACTAAACCGTGGTCGTATCTACAAGGCGTAATAACGACGAGTATCTCGGCCGCTGCCAAGATCGAACCATCAGAAAGCTTGTACAGCAATGTATATGCCGTGATACTTAAGGGGCGCGACGTAAAGTACAATCAAGGGATTGGAATATTCTGGCTAAGGACCATTGGACAAAAGGGAATACTGATAATATATATAGAAGGTAAGAGGACAGAAAAAAGGGCTCCCTCCTTCAAGAAAAAGAGACAAAAGAACCAGAGAGGATCTCGAAGGAAAAACGAGCGAAGGTCTAGATCTTGGTTACAGATCTTTGTAATCATCATTGTCAAATCAATAAAGATAGATCCCGTAGCTATCAATGGCGTTCTTTCTATTTCTTCTTTGTTCCTATATTACGGAACAATATCTCAAGAATGTAAGCCTATCATTTACGTTTGATATCTTTTATAATCTTAAAAAGGTTATAAGCCTGATTGCATTTCTGTTTTCATATATAACGTGCTTTGATCTAGAGTTAATTATCCTTGGCTAGGATTCACCCTCTATTTTCTCATTAATTAGTTTAACAAAAAGTTTAACACTCTTTTGTCAAATAATTTGACGCCGCCTGTGGGACTTCTTAGCCAAAATTTTAGTTTTCTCTAAATCTAAAGCCAACCAGAGTTTCGCTTCTCGATGGCCACAGCCCCACCCTCTGTGTAAATACCAACTTGAGAAAATTGTAGGCAAGCTTTTGAAATAACCAAACCAATCAGGGTCAGATCTTTACATGAAAACGAAATTATGTCCAATATCTATACAAAACCCACGCCTCGTCGGTAACGACGGGCTTGGCACGTCATATACGTATTCAAAGTGTGATCACGGTCGCTACGCACTTAGCGCGACCACAATTCTAACTGCCGTATACACGTTACGCGTCGATCTGTATTTCCACCTCCTAGGAAGGGATGATAGCCTATTGTGTGATTCTTTGAAATAACTGGCGTATCCTGCCTTATTTTTGTACCCGTATGCGCTATGTGATTTATGTACAGAATAGTATGACATGTTTCCCTTCTTCATTGCGCGCATCGGACGGGATCGGATCGGTACCCAAACTCGAGATTCCAACGGGCAAGGTAAGTTCAGCCGACGAGAATCCTAGAGGCGACTAACGACGAAGCCAAACACAGGGCTACCAAATCTGTAACCGCCATTTGGATACGGGACGAAGCAAGTAGCCCTGCAGCGCCCTTCCCCCTCTCACCGACTTACCAGGCCAAGGTAACAGGAAATTTCGTTTGGGTTTAACGTGTCATATTTTCTCTCTAGCATTCTCACAGGTTCGCGGACAAGGAACAAATGCCACCGAACACACAAGGAAACCGCATCGTCTCGCAGGCAGTGACCGAGCAAAACCCTCCGCGCCGAGCCATACTACAAATGACAAACGACTCAGGACAGGCCAACATCAGTAAGAAACAATCTCCATAACCTGGGACTGAGCAATAAGTCCATGGAACGTATAATCTCCCCAACACAGGCAGAACATGAACTCGAAAAGCTTGCACGTATGTTCGCCATGACAATCCTACGCCAATTCAGCCAACTAAATATTACGAATCACGACTGAGCGTCATTTGAATTGATAAAGCCCGAAGGTGCCCGACAGCCCAAGCGATAAGTTCATCGCCCATCCCGTCAACGACCTCTCCAGGCCGAGCAATGAAGGGACTAGATAAAATGAGACTCCACCGACGCATACGAACTATGCAACGACTCACAAACTCCAATGAAAGCGAAATTAAACAAACCGGGACTCACCCCGACGCACGCATAAACAATACAGCAACGAGTAATGTTCTCCAATATAAGTAATGAAATAGACAAATCTCATCGCCAAGTGAAAGTGAAATTTGACCTTGCTCGAACTCACAACGGGTTACGATTTCGACCTCGCTCGAATTCACACCCTTATGGCCCCCGGCCATCTCTAAGTGTAAGTGAAGTTCGACCTCGTTCGAACTCACAACGGGTTACGATTCGACCTCGCTCGAATTCACACCCTTACGGCCCCCGGCCATCGCCAAGTAAAAGTGAAATTCGACCTCGCTCGAATTCACACCCTTACGGTCCCCGACCATCACCAAGTGAAAGTGAAGTTCGACCTCGTTCAAACTCACAACGGGTTACCATTTCAACCTCGCACGAATTCACACCCTTACGGCCCCCGGCCATCGCCAAGTAAAAGTGAAATTCGACCTCGCTCGAACTCACAACGGGTTACGATTTTGACCTCGCTCAAATTCACACCCTTACGTCCCCTGTCCATCGCTAAACGGAAGTAATATACAAATTTACAAGTCAAATCTAACTTCGAATTAACAAGTCAAAACTAACTTCGCCCAAGTGGGCAAGTCTAACTCCGACCCCGCTCAAATCAAGCGAAATAGAATCGCATTCGAGTTCCCAATTGAAAATCAGGGACTCATCACGGGGAAATCCGAAGATTTCTTTCAAAAAAAAAGGGGGGTCAAAAGATATGTAACCAAAGGCAAAGCGGCTATTTTATTCAAAATATGTACATGCGCAACTGTTGATACCCAATTTTTCCCTCATATTTTAAATATATATACATATACTTTCAAAATAGTGCATATGCATCATCATTTGATTTATAAGCATACATAAATATATTTTTTTCATAATTTTTAAAGGCTTTAAACCAATTTATTCTTGCATTTTGTTATATATAAATATCCAATAATTATCCTTCAAATTATTTTTTGATGATTTAATCATCTAAATTTATCATTTATACTCACATAATATTTAAATATTTTTTAGTGCACTTATATAATTACATTTGTATTTTAAAGGCTAAATTGCACATCTTTGCAATAATAGCCCATATTAATGTATAATTATATTATTTATGCAGGAAATGACCTTTTTATATTTTTATAATGTTGAGTAATTATTTTTAATTATTTTAGTGCACAAATAATATTTTTTTATTTATTAATTACTTTTATAAATTATTTATTTATTAAAACATTGGGTTAAAAACTAGCCTAATTCTAAACCTATTTTCGGACCTAAACTACCCAATACACCAGCCCAGTAATACCTGAGCCCAAACCAAATAACCCTTCAGCCCAACTAACCAATTAATCCGATCCAGAACCCCGACTAATCATGGCCGTTGATCTCTGAGATCAACGGCCCATATTATTCCTACCCTTTTAATTATACCCAAACCCCTAACCCTAATTCATTCCCTCCAAACCCGCCGCCTCTCTATTCTCTCCCCCTCTGAAGAACCCTAACCCGCCGCCTCTCTCAACCTCTCCAAATCCTGCCCTACAATGGAAAAACCGTTAATTTACTTGCCTTATTGATCTCCTCCCACTATTGGGTACTCGTTTGTGGTGTTACCTAGTTGCTTGCCTAACATGGCAAGCAAATCTCATCAAAATCGAACCAAATCGGTTCAAATCCTTGATTTCTCTGATTATTCTTTCTATGTTCATCATGTATTCTTTGTAAGTACGGATATTTTCTATATCTGTTGATGATTCTTACCTACCCTAAATTAGGGTTTTTAGATCCCTTTTAATCGAACCAAAACAGGTTAGATTCTCTGATTTTAAGTGATATTCCGTCTATGTTCATCTTATTCTGTGTGGTGTTTGATTTTATTCTGTCGATTTTACACTTTCCCCAAAATTAGGGTTTGAGACTTTTCCCTTTTCCTTACTGATTCTGATTGCATGTAATGAATCTTTCCCTTTCTCGTGTTCGATTGATGATTTTCCTTATTTGGATGTTAATTTCT